GGTAATGCTGGTGCAGTAGTAAGGATGAATGGGAGAGTGTTGGCACCTAGGGAAGAAGTTGATATCCTTGGGGTGAAATTTGACTCCAAACTGACCATGAAAATCCACACTGTAAATCTTGCAAACAAGGCAGCCAGGAAGCTTACAGCACTTCGCCGTATTTCACATCTGCTTGACAGCAGGGGTTGCAAGATTTTGTACGAGGCACAAGTACGCTCACACCGTGAGTATGCTCCACTTTCTTGGTTTGCCTGCCCCCCCCCTTCTCATCTGCGACTGCATGACAGAGTAGATAACAGAGCAAGACGTCTCATCTCTCTCCTGGACCAATCCTGGATTGATCTGACATTTCAGCAGAGCCTTCAACACAGGAGGGATGTGGGTGGCCTTACTGTCATGTACAAGGCCAATATTGTCAAAGTACCACACTTGGATCCACTTCGAGAACAGCGTGAAGCAAGCTTCTATTCCACAAGACGGGCAGAAAGCAGCAACTTTACTCTGGCTATACCCTTCTCCAGAACATCACTTCATCTGAGATCATTTACCTCTAAGTTGACTCAGGTATGGAACACATTCGTACAGCATTATGATGTCAACAAGATAAAGTCAGTTGATCAGATGAAAATACTGGCCCACAGATGGCTCCAACTTCATCCTGTTCCTTACTTGTATGTCTCATAACAGTAAAAATACTTGTATGTTTCATAACAATAGAAATACTTGTATGTTTCATAACAATAAAAATACTTGTATGTTTCATGATCAAAATGCTTTCAAATGAGCTGATGTAGGTAACAGCTCTTAGTTTGTCAATAAAGTTAGGAATCCTTAACCTGTAAATAGCTTGTCAATAAAGCTAGGGATCCTTAACCTAACCTTGTCAAACCCTGTGTAAATAAAAAAAAAAGATTGAGAGAGAGAGAGAGAGAGAGAGTAACCCTTTCAGGGTCAAGAGGCCCTCTCCTAAACTTGTTCTCAGGGTCGAAAATTTTTCGGAAAAAAAAAATAAAAAAAAAAATTTTCTTAGGAAATGATAGAGAATCTTTTCCTGATCATAATGACATCAAAAGTATGAAATTTGATGGAAAACTTAGGGAATTATGCTCTTGTGAAGTTAGTGGTCTTGCCGATGTTTACATTTCGGCGATTTCGTCCACTTTGAGCCTTATTTTCAGCATATTCCTGTGTACTAGTCGACAAAAATCATATTTATTTCACGAAAACTCCATTTTTTCTATCGAATGAGTACAAGAAACCACCCATTTACCAATTTCAACTATCCAATAAAGTTGTTAGAAATTGGCAATTTTGCCAATTTCACACAAAATTCAGAAGATGCCAGTTTCCAAATAGGGTCCAGAATAAACAAGACAGACATTTCTGGCACTAAAATAACAAGTTCTCTGTTTGTTAGTCATGTCCCTAGGCCCCTCTTGCATTTCTTTTGCTTTCCACTTTGAATTTTTATTCTTACAAAAAATAGAAGATTTACTGTTATGCAGACTACTGCATTAGTGTAGAAATGGTATAAATATTATCAGTGCACTTGTGAAAGTCTATTAGACTCACCAGTTGACGTGTATTAGACGCTTGCATGATTTGTTTACTTTTGAACTTTGGGAAAAATCGAATATTTCTGCTACTTTGAGCTCAATTTTATGGTACTTTTCATTGTGAAACCAATCAAAATCATCTCAATTTCTGTAATATGTCTTCCATTCTATAAAATGAGACCAGTGAGACCAGGAAAACTAGAATACAACCATAAACACCATATGAAAATACATTGCAAAGTCGCTGTTTTAATCCAAAAACACAGTCAAAGTTTTTTTTTCCCATTACGCATTGTGTGCTGCAGGATTTTTTTTTATACTGCGCACACTGACCACATAGTCCCATTCTTTCATATGTAGGCCTACCAGCTTTCTCTCGCTAGATTTGAAGGCGGTAGAATTTAGGCGTTCTAGTATGTCAGTAACCCTGGTGCGTAATCCGTACTAGTACGTCGAAAATCCTGAAAGGGTTGAGAGTAAGATGGAGAGTAGGATAGCAGATGAGCAAGGAGGCTTTAGGAAAGGTAGAGGGTGTGTAGAACAAGTGTTTACAGTGAAACATATAGGTGAACAGTTTTTAGATAAGTGTAAAGAGGTCTTTTTGGCATTTATGGATTTGGAAAAGGCATATGACAGGGTGGATAGGGGGGCAATGTGGCAGATGTTGCAGGTGTATGGTATAGGAGGTAGGTTACTGAGAGCAGTGAAGAGTTTTTACGAGGATAGTGAGGCTCAGGTTAGAGCATGTAGGAGAGAGGGAGATTATTTCTTAGTAAAAGTAGGCCTTAGACAAGTATGTGTGATGTCACCATGGTTGTTCACTAATTTATGGATGGACTTGTAAGAGAAGTGAATGTGAGGGTCTTGGCAAGAGGTGTGGAGTTACAAGATGAAGAATCAAACACAAAGTGGGAGTTGTCACAGTTGCTCATTGCTGATAACACTGTGCTCTTGGGAGATTCTGAAGAGAAGTTGCAGAGGTTGGTGGATGAATTTGGTAGGGTATGTAAGTGAAGAAAATGAAAAGTGAATATAGGAAAGAGTAAGGTTATGAGGATAACAAAAAGATTAGGTGGCGAAAGATTGGATATCAAATTGGAGGGAGTGAGTATGGAGGAGGTGAATGTATTCAGATATTTAATAGTGGACATATCAGCAGATGTTTCTATGAAGGATGAGGTGAATCATAGAATTGATGAGAGAAAAAGGGTGAGTGGTGCACTTTGGAGTCTGTGGAGACAAAGAACTTTGTCCGTGGAAGCAAAGAGGGGAATGTATGAGAGTATAGTTGTACCAATGCTCTTGTATGGGTGTGAAGCATCGGTGATGAATGTTGCAATGAGGAGATGGCTGAAGGCAGTGGAGATGTCATGTCTGAGGGCTATGTGTGGTGTGAATATAATGCAGAGAATTCGTAGTTTGGAAATTAGGAGAAGTTGTGGGATTACCAAAAGTATTATCCAGAGGGCTGAGGAGGGGTTGTTGAGGTGGTTTGGACATGTGGAGAGAATGGAACAAAACAGAATGACTTTGAGAGTGTATAAATCTGTAGTGGAGGGAAGGCATGAGCATATATGATAGGAGTGAATGGAGACAAATGGTTTTTAACCCTTTGACTGTCGCGGCCATATATATACCTCTTACGAGGTACCGTGTTTGACGTATATATACTCATAAATTCTAGCGGCTTCAAATCAAGCAGGAGAAAGCTGGTAGGCCCACATGTGAGAGAATGGGTCTGTGTGGTCAGTGTGCACCATATAAAAAAAATCCTGGAGCACGCAGTGCATGAGAAAAAAAACTCCGACCGTTTTTTTTAATTAAAATGCCGACTTTGTGGTCCATTTTCGTATAGTATTTATGGTTGTATTCTCGTTTTCTTGGTCTCATTTGATAGAATGGAAAACATATTATAGAAATCGAGGTGATTTTGATTGATTTTGCTATAAAAAGAACCTGGAAATGGAGCTCAAATTAGGGGAAATGTTTGATTTTTGCCAATGTTTAAAAGTAAACAAATGATGCCATTGTCCAATAAATGTCCAACTAGCCATTCTAATATGCAGTCATGAATGGGTTGATGTTATTTATACAATTATTACAGTATTGCAGTAGTCTGCATAATAGTAAGTCTCCTTTTTTTGTTTGAATAAAAATTCAAAATAGAAAGCAAGAGTAATATCAGAGGGGCCTGGAGACATGACTGATGAACAAAGAAAATGTTATTTTAGAGCCAGGAATGTCTGCATTGTTCATTCTGGACTTATTTGAAATTGTCATATTTTTTAATTTTCGTGAAATTGGCCAAATTGCAAATTTCTGACCACATTATTGAGTAGTTGAAATCAGTAAATGGGCATTTTCTTGTACTCAATCGATAGAAAAAATGGAGTTCTAAAGAAATAGCTATGAGTTTGGTCGACTGGAACAACGGAATTAGCCGAAAATAGGGCTCAAAGTGGGCGAAATCGCTGATTTGTAAATATCGCTGAGGTCGCTAACTTCGTGAGAGCATAATTCCGTCAGTTTTCCATCAAATTTCGTTTTTTTTGGTGTCATTACAATCGGGGAAAGATTCTCTATCATTTCATAATTTTTTTTTTTTTTTTTTTTTTTTTTTTAATTTTGCGACGCCAGGAGACACCTCAGGATTGGGGATTGCGACAGTCAAAGCGTTAATACTTGTCGTGCCAAATAGTAACAAAAATTTCATGGCAGGTCTGTATATGTGCCTTGCTGATAAAATATGCATGCATTGTATCCCTGTCAACATCTTCCTTTATCTTATAGGTAATGTGTTACTTTAATTCCTTGTTTGCCATTTTCTTGGGCCCCAGGAATGTCCCCTCAAAATTTTTCCAGCCATTTGTGGAATGAATTTTATTGTAGTTATACTTTATGTTCAAATTCTTGTCATTGGAGTGACATAAAAACTGCAGCACCCTCCTTACAACTCTAGAATAGATCACAGACTTGAGCCCTTTTCCCTTGGTCAAGGTACTGATGTCTACAAGAAAGGAAATATTACTAACATGTAGATGTGCAGAAGAGAAAGGCAGCATTCTTGAAGAGTTTCTCAACTTGAGAATGTTGTGTTACATTATGTGGAATGTTAGAGAGCTGAGGTTATGGAAATGAGGATTACACTCTCAGTCACACACTGATATACACTTAGACAGGTGTGATATTATAACAGCATAAAAATATTACAATTTTATTGATTCTGCTTTATAATAAAGCATCAAACTTTGCCTGTCTTTCAAAATCTCATGCCTTATATTAGTTTAAAAATATTAATGCATATAATATCCTTGTCAAATTTTGAGGGGGGGATATATAATGTATTTTACAACAAGAAATACATTACTTGTTTTTCATTTCAGTGCCAAAAATATAAATATGTGTTTTTATTTGCCTAAATAATAAATATTTTATTTTCTGTAGGCACAACAGTTCTCTTGGATTAAGACCAGTTATCCAGCAATATTTGAGAGGATAAAGATGCAAGTAAAGGCAGGACGCTTCATACCCGTTGGAGGCACCTGGGTTGAAATGGATGGTCTAATTCCTAGGTGAGTAATATAATGTTTTACCAAGAATATTTACTTGTACAACGTTTCCCTACCAACCACAAATTAATAAATCCTTGCCAGAATTTGGCATAGCAAATTAATGTTATACACATTAATATTAGTTACACTTGGCTTATCAATTACACATACACTGATATAAATCTTGGCCATAATTATCTTATCAAATTAATATTATACAAATACATTAATATAAATCCTAGCCACTTTGGCTTTGCAAAATTAACCCTTTGACTGTCGAAGGGCCCAATCCTGAAGTGTCTCCTGGTGTCGCAAAATATTCGAAAAAAAAAAAATTATTTTTTCTTATGAAAATGTTAAGATTATTTTTCTGATTGTTTTAGTCCCAAAAAAAAATTTTTTCCCATCAGTACTTACCGAGATATAGAGGCATGAAGTTTGCAGAAAATGAGCCGCGTATGGCAACAGCGGCGACTGCCGCTCACCCGGTAAACTTTAGTTTACTTGTATTTGAAGGTTTGTTGTTTTTTTCACTATTTTATTTTTTCACATAACTTATGTGGCCTGTGAGACCAAAGTAAGGTGCAATGTACATATATACACTCGTTGTATACAACACAATAAGCACACAAACATAATTATCAATATATTGTTTACAAAACTTGTTTACAAAAACAAACAATACAAAAAAATTTTTATTACTATTGTTCTATAATATATATACCATATACAGTCACTGAACATACTCCTAGAAGTTTTGCAGCTTGTGGAACTCTGTTGAATCTTGGTGTCTTACAACTGTGGTGTTTTACACTCTTACACATAATACTGGTGTCATACACAGTGGTGTTTTTCATCTTAAACATAAAATAATGGTGTCAATTCACAGTGGTGTTTTACCACTCTCACACTTTATACATGGTGTCATACTCAGTGGGTTTACCACTCTCACACATAAATCAGTGTGTGTGCATTTTGTTGAATTTTTTTTTAGTGCAAAGGACAAATTACCTCGTTGAGAGCTTTCTTCAATGTATTAGAGCAAGTTTGTGATGTAGTTATCCTTGGAAATGTTGTTGTGGTCATTCTCTTCCTTCCTAATTCCTTCATTCTTTCCATACCTGGTGGTGCCTGGAGGGCATATTCCACCTCTCTTCCTACTTCCTTCATCTGTCCTTCATTACTTTTTTCCGTCCTTGCATCTAGTCCTTCCTTATCCATTCCTGCCTTCCTTCCCTGCTTCTGGTTTCTATAATATATATAACATATATAGTCACTAGTTACTGTCATAACAACTGCTATTATCACCCTTCAGCCAAGCTTGTCTTGTGTGCGGAGTGTGTGGTGCTTATAATTGTTTTGAGGCAGAGTCGGCAGCTTGTCAAAGTGGACTTATTGTCTCATTGTCACTGCCCTACCGCCGTCAAAACAATGGGGTGGATGCTGCTTCCACCTCCATTCTATCTATTATTTTCTCCCCTCATTCTATCTCTTTCAAATCTGTCTCTCTTTCTCTCTCTCTGTCTTTCTCTGTCTAAGGGTACACATAAATACAAATATACATAGTGGTAAATTACCTAGGTTAAACCCAAAAAAATCAGACCAAAGTGCTATTACTCTGCTTGAAGATGTTGAGTAAAGGTAGATGATGACACAGTCTTGTGGCTGTCTTGTGACTGAGCTAGACGGATTAGACAGGGAGGTTTGGCAGACAGACAATTAGACAGTCAAATGTTGTTCGTCGTCATCTTCTCCATCATCTCCTCTCTACCTTCTCCTCTCCTTCTCCTTCTCTACTTCTTCTCTTCTTCTCCTTTTCATCCTTTTTATCCTTCTTCTCCTTCCTCCTCATCTCCTCCTCCTCTCCTGCCTCCTCCTCTCCTCCTCTCTCCTCCTCCTCCTCCTCCTCCTCCTCTCCTCTTTTCCTCATGGCCTCTTGAAAGATGGAAGCTCGCCCCCTCCTTCCACCTCGTTTATGTCATCAAAGGTCAGCTCTTATCAGATGTTATCTCCCCTTATCTTGTCTCTGTCATGGGGTGTGGTTGAACTGTTTTTCATGCCTCAAGGGAACATATTGTTACCAATTATTATTATTATTAGGTATTAGGTATTATTTTATTTCTTATTCTTCTTCTTATTCTTCCTTTTATTCTTCTTATTCTTCTTCTTCTTCTTTTACTTCCTCCTTCCACCTTTCCTCCTTCATCTCTCCTCCCTCCTTTCCTCTCCTACCTCCTTCTTCCTCCCTCCTCCTGCCTCTCCTCCCTCCACTCCTCCCTCCTTCTTCCTCCTCCCTCCTTCTTCTCCTCCCTCCTTCCTCCTCCTCCCGCCTTCCTTCCTCTTTCCTCCGTCCTTCAATTCCTCCTCTTCTTCCTCCCTCTCTTCCTCCTCCTCTTCTTCCTCCTCCTCTTCCTCCTCTTCCTCCTCCTCCTCTTCTCCTCCTCTCCTCACTCCACCTCCTCATTGCTTTTGGATCTCAAACTCTCGAAATCTTGTAATTGATCTTCATTGACACTTCCATCTGTGTTAGAGCAATCACTTGGGAGAGAAGAGTCCAGTTTTGCAGGGAAAGGCACATATTTCTGACAGATAGACATGCTGATTAAAAGGGACCATCTGAAATGGGTATTCCCACAATGCACATGGCTTCCCCAATTGTTTTTATATGGTGCCAATGACCTTCGGAGACACAGTCTCTCACCATGTGGGACTACCAGCTTTCGCCTGCTTGATTTGAAGCCGCTAGTTTTTATGCGTATAGGTTAGTCAAACACAGTATCTCTATGATGTACATATACGACGCGTCAGTAAAGGGTTTAAAATACACATTAATATATTAGCTACACTTGCCTTATCAATTACACATACATTACAACATTAATATAATCTTTAGCCACACTTGACTTATCCAAATTAATATTGTAATAATTATAATCCACTACACATTAAGTAAATTTGTGAACTTAACATCCACCTCCTTCTGTCATTTCACATATAATTATTAACCCTTTGACTGTCGTGGTCGTATATATACGTCATAGGAGATACCGTGTTTGACATATCTATACGAGTAAATTCTAGCGGCTTCAAATCAAGCAGGAGAAAGCTGGTAGGCCCACATGTGAGAGAATGGGTCTCCATGGTCAGTGTGCACCATATAAAAAAAATCGGGGAGCTAGTGGTGCATTGTGGGAATACCATTTCATTCGTCCTTTTTCAGCATGTCTAGCGGTAAGAAATATGAGACTCCCCAGCAAATCTGGGACTCTTCTCTTCCCAAGTGATGCTCTAACACAGATGGAGAAGTGTCATTGAAGATCAATTTCATGATTTCGAGGAGTCCGTTTGTGACCAAAGCAATGGAGGAGAGGAGGAGGAGGAAGAAGAGGAGGAGGAGGAAGAAGAGGAGGAGGAAGAAAGAAGAGGAGGAGAAAGAAGAGGAGGAGGGAGAAAGAAGAGGAGGAGGGGAAAGAAGAGGGAGAGGAGAAAGGAGAGGAGGACGGAGAAAGAAGAGGAGGAGGAGAAAGAAAGAGGAGGAGGAAGAAAGAAGAGGAGGAGGGAAGAAGAGGAGGAGGAAGGAAGGAAGGAAGGAGGGAAGAGGAAGGAAGGAGGAAGAGGAAGAAGGAGGAAGAGGAAGTAGGAGGTAGAGGAAGGAAGGAGGAAGAGGAAGAGGGAGGAAAGAGGGAAGGAGGGAGGAAAGAGGAAGGAGGGCGGAGGAGGAAGGTGGAGGGAGGTGGGGAAGGAGGGAAGGTGGAGAAGGAGGGAGGTGGGGAAGGAGGGGTGGAGGAAGGAGGGAGGTGGAGGAGGAGGGAGGTGAGGAAGGAGGGAGTGGAGGAAGGAAGGAGGAGGTGGAGGTAGGAGGGAGGTGGAGGAAGGAAGGAGGGAGGTTGGAGGAAGGAGGAGGTGGAAGGAAGGATGGGAGGAGGAGGAAGGAGAGGAGGAGGAGGAGACGAAGGAGGAAGAAGGATGAAGGAGGAGGGGAGGGGGAAGAAGGAGGAAGGAGAAGGAGAAGAAGAAGGAGAGGAAGAAGAGAAGTAGGAGGAAGAAGAAGATGAAGGAGGAAGAGAAGAAGAAGGAGGAAGAGAATGAAGAAGGGAAGAAGAAGAAGAGGAAGAGATGGAAGAAGAAGTAGAAGGTGGAAGAAGAATGAGGAGGAAGAAGAAGAAGAAGGAGGGGAGAAAGAAGAAGAAGGTGGAGGAAGAAGAAGAAGAAGGAGGAGGAAGAAGAAGAAGAAGGAGAGGAAGAAGAAGAAGAGAAGAGGAGGAGGAGAAAGAAGGAGAGAAGAAGAAGGGGGGGGGGGGGGGGGGGGGGGGGGGGGTTTGGGGGGGGGGGGAAGGAGGAAGGAAGAAGCAGAAGGGGGAGGAAGAAGAGATGGAGGAGGAAGAAGGAAGAAGGAGGAAGGAAGAAGGAAGAAGAAGAAGAAGAAAATACTAATAATAATAATATGTAATAATATGTATCCCTTGAGGGCATGGAAAAACAGTTCAACCCCATGACAGCGACAAGATAAGGGGAGTAAATATGATAAGAGCTGACTTTGATGAGCGTTAACGAGGGTGGAGGGAGGGGGGGCAGCTGTCTATTCTGTCAAGAGCACGGAGGAGGAGGAGGAGGAGATGGAGAAGAAGGAAGGAGAAGGAGAAAGAAGGTGGGGGGAGGAGAAGGAGAAGAGGAGGAGGAGAAGCAGAAGAGGATGAGAAGGAGGTGGAGGAGATGGAAGAAGAGGGGAGGAGGAGGAGGAGGAGAAGGAGAAGGAGGAGGAGAAGGAGAGAAGGAGGAGGGAGAAGGAGAAGAAGGAGGAGGAGAAGGAGAAGGGAGAAAGGAGCGAGGCGAAGGAGAAGGAAGGAGGAGAAGAAGGAGGAAGGAGGAGGAGACGGAGAGAAGGAGGAGGAGAAGGAGAAGAAGAGGTGGAGAAGGAGAAGAAGGAGGAGGGGAAGGAGAAGAAGGAGAAGGAGAAGAAGGAGGAGGAGAAGAAGGTGGAGGAGAGGAAGAAGAAATGGGAGAAGGAAAGAGGAGATGGA